GTCATGACACGGTCTTTAGCTTCGCATGCCATTTATCTCACAAGGCCTGCACATAAAGACTACAGAGCCAGTGTGGTGTAGTGGTTAAGAGCGGTAGTCTCGTAATCTGGGGAACCGGGTTCGCTTCCCCGCTCCTCCACATGCAGCTGCTGGGTGACCTTGGGCCAGTCACACTTCTCTGAAGACTCTCAGCCCCACTCACCTCACGGAGTGTTTGTTGTGAGGGAGGAAGGGAAAGGAGAATGTTAGCCGCTTTGAGACTCCTGAAGGGGAGTGAAAGGCGGGATATCAAATCCAAAGTCTTCTTCTCTGACCAGTTAAATGCCCTTAAGTCACATTTTACTTGACGCTTCTCCGGCTCAGAGATCATGTGCACCGTCATATATGAAATGCCACTCAAAAGCATGGTCAGGAAGGCACTGCAGTAGTGTCACTAAAGCAGCAAACATAGGCAGAATTAATCTGAAAGTAAGCACAAGTGGCACTTACAAGGACTGGGCGATAGATTGATATATCATCCAAAACCAGTTCGAAGTCCATATTGTGATATCGGTTTCATGGTTTTCGACCTGGCAATATATTGCAACTCAAGATGTGCGTGTGTGCTATACAAAAATCACAATGCGGGGGAAACTGTGAAGCCAGCCAGTGCTTCTGCACAATTTTATCCTTATTTCAGACTTGAGATACAACAGTCTATCACAATGTTTAGCTGGTGTTATATCACAACGTTGAGAACCATATATTTGCCCAACCCTACTGTCTGCCTCTACATAGTTCCATCCTTATTTCAGACACCGTGTTATATCCGTATATTGCGATATTTAGTTGGTGATTTATTGTGATGTCGAAAACAAGATATCGCCCAGCCCCAGAACTTACTTCTGAGCAAACATGCATGGATTGCTCTGCGTCATTATGAGTTTATAATGTAGACCCCTGGACTTCCTGGTTAACTCCTTGGCTTTCTCTTAGTCTCATCTTCGGGCTGCAATACCACCACTTCTAATTCGGATACTGAGTGCAAACAGAATTACAGTGGTACCTCTACTTACACGCACCTCTGGTTACATATCCTTCAGGATACGCAAACCCAGAAGTATTTTTCCGGGTTTCGCCGCGTGTGCAGAAGCGCTCTACCGTGCGCATGCGCAGAACAGGTGCCTCCGGTTGCAAAAACCTCGGGATCCGACCAGAGCTCCGAAATGGATCCCGTCCACAACCAGAGGTACCACTGTACAGCCAAAACATGGTAAGTCAAAAAACAAAGAGGTGGTATTAGCATAAACAAGATACAGGAAAGGAAGGAAGGAAGGAAGGAAGGAAGGAAGGAAGGACAGCTCAATTGGCCACAGAGTGTTGGTATCAGTTGGAAAAGAACAATGAGAAAGGAGGTGGAGAAAAGAATGAAGTAAATATCCTGGAGGAAAGTGCATCTGGAACCTAGAAAGAGGCGAAAATACACTGAAATATTTTGCAGCAGGCCTTTTGCAAGGGCTGCAAAGTATATACACAAAGTATCAAATGAGATAATAATCATACAACAAAACAACACCACGACAAACTGGCTTATAAGTATAAAACCAAATTTACTAGAATAATAGCTAGAATAGAGACTTGTAACCATTCAAACAACAAACATACTAAGGTGCCATGTGCAAAACAAAGCCTGGAGATACTGTAAACATGGAGTGGATAAATGTACAACTGTATCTTAACAAGTTACATGTGCAGTAAACGTTATACAGACTGGATAAATGAACCGTTCAACGAGTAGCACAAGTCCAATCACAGAACGGCAACCCCGTGCCACCACAACGGCAAGGGTAGCACCCTGGAGAATATGAAAAAGTTTTTCAAAGCTATTTTTCAAAGATTGAACCACGGGAAGGCAATCACGGGAAGGCAACTCAAAGCCACCACCCTGGTGAGAATAACGCTTCATCAGTCCAAAAAGTGATGCTGCACCTTTGACCATGTAATCATGTCCCTTTATCCAGTCTGTATAACGTTTACTGCACATGTAACTTGTTAAGATACAGTTGTACATTTATCCACTCCATGTTTACAGTATCTCCAGGCTTTGTTTTGCACATGGCACCTTAGTATGTTTGTTGTTTGAATGGTTACAAGTCTATCTCTATTCTAGTTATTATTCTAGTAAATTTGGTTTCATACTTATAAGCCAGTTTGTGGTGTTGTTGTTTTGTTGCATTACTTCTGCAAGGGCTACCTAGAGAACATATGTGACACACATTGTGATGCTGTATATATTCCAAGTATTATTTAAGGGTTTCTTCTGAATCAAGTACACCAAGTGCACTGCTGACCTCAGTGGGACCAAACATGTACACAAGACTGGAAGAGAGGAAAGGCAAATCCAGATCATGGTAGCCAAGATAGGTACAAACTGAATCACTGCACACTTGACACAGCCAGCGTCTTGGCCAGAGCTCTCCATGTCTTGCACTGGGGTTCCACTACAAAAGGGCAGACACACATTGCTAAACACATCCTCAGGGACGTGCAATAGGTAAAGGTAAAGGGACCCCTGACCATTAGGTCCAGTCGTGACCGACTCTGGGGTTGCGGCGCTCATCTGGCTTTATTGGCCGAGGGAAGCCGGCATACAGCTTCCGGGTCATGTGGCCAGCATGACTAAGCCACTTCTGGCAAACCAGAGCAGTGCATGGAAACGCTGTTTACCTTCCCACCAGAGCGGTACCTATTTATCTACTTGCACTTTGATGTGCTTTCGAACTGCTAGGTTGGCAGGAGCAGGGACTGAGCAACGGGAGCTCACCCTGTCGCGGGGATTCGAACCGCCAACCTTCTGATTGGCAAGTCCTAGGCTCTGTGGTTTAACCCACAGCGCCACCCGCGTCCGGATATTTAAGAATCCCACCAAATGCTAGCAGGCGGCAATGGCTGTGTTCCATTTGATAAATGGGTACAGGAGTCTTGCTCAGCCAGCGGACAGAATGCAGCCAGTGATTTTTTCCCTTGTTTCTATAAAAGAAAAAACTGGAGAATCATTTATTAAAAAAGCTGAGGAAGGTCTGAAATCCCCCTAGGGTGAGCCAGACCCTTGACAGGACAGTTCTTTTGAGAATAGCCTTGCCTTGCTCATGGGGAAAGATGTCTCCCTTAAATCAAGAACACATGACCCAAAGTCATGTCTAAGTCAGCTGTACGGCTGCAGCGCTTGATATTTCTTCCAGTCATTGAAAAGTTGTCAGTAGGGAGTTACACGTTGTTTTTATCAACGGCAACCCTCAACAAAAGTTCTCTCTTTCACAGTAGTGCCTTTAATGTAGTCCAGACTTTTTGGGAGCTATTGCAGGAAATTCCCCAGGTTCTTCATTGCAATGTGTTAAACTGAGCCTGATCTCTGGAACTAAAAATAGGTTTCAAGCAATCAGATGAAACAGAAAAGAGCTCTCTCTCTCTCTCTCTCTCTCTCACACACACACACACACACACACACAGCACTCTTTTGCATATAATTAGAATGAACTGGGACAGATGCAGGCTGTCAACCAACTAAGAATGGGGGAGTAAAGACCATATGGGACAAAGACCTGCGGCAGTTATAAGATGTATGGCCCAAGTGTGCCCAGATGTCAAGACACAGAAATGCGTCCTTTAATTAGCTAAATACACTGAGCTGTATCCAAATGTTAGTCATACTCAGAACAGACCCGCTGAGATTGAACGGGCACTGCTAATAACTTAGGTCTATTAATTTCAACGGGTTAATTCTGAGTGGAACTTAAGTTGGCTACAGCCCAGTTAACCTAACAATTACCAGTGTTGTAGATATGTGTCTAAAGACCTAGATGCTATGCAAAATACAAAGGGACAGGCCCCGTCCCAATACATGCGCACTGAAAAATAAGTCCCATTGAGTTCAGTGGGATTTATTCCTGGTTAAGCAGGAAAAGCATTGCAGCCCTAGAGAACAAAGTTACAAAACTGGAGGAAGCGAAAGACAAAGCGACGACCAAAGCAAATTAGATGCAAAAACATGCCAACTTGCAACTTTGTTTTGGCTGTCGAAGCATTTCCATTATAATTTTAGTGGCCTGTGCAGTTTTTATCCACAGGTGCTAAATATCAAAAGAGGCGGGCGAGAAATCACAGCCATATCGTGCTACTTTCGCTGCTCTGCTGAAACGCAACGAAGCTCCGGCCTCTGGAGCATAAACATAGCAAAAAACAAAACAAAACCCAACCTTTGTTAAATACACTTCACATTAACATCATCGTCATTTACATTCTCAGTAATCTTTACAACAAGCCTGCGAGGTAGGGCAGTTCTAAACTCATGCTTCAGGGGTGGGGATGGTCAAACACAGAACAGCTTGCAGAGCAAAGCTTAGATTTTAGCAGGAAACTTCAAAGCAGGGGACCTCTGTACTATTTTAAAACAGGTCGCTCGTCCTCAGGTGAGCTCAGGTGGTGGTGCTCATGGTTCCAAACCCCACCCCCCTGCGCCCCTCTTTTTCCTCACAACCCTGGAAGGAAAGCCAGCCTAAACACGACCGCCTTCTCCACTATAGCCAGATGTCTTAGAGGAGCAGGGAATTGAGCTGTGCCTTTCCCCCCAGCCTACGTAAGCCACGCTCCCCACCCGCGCCCCCTGGGAATGGAACTCGCTTGAAGACGCCGGCGCGGTTGCCAACAGAACCCCCGACAGCTTCCAAAGCACCCTAGAAATGCGTAAAAGCGCAAAGCGCATCGCCCTATAGATTTCCTTTTCTCTCTCATTCATTCGCTCGCTTACACACACATCAGAAGCAGCGGGAACGGGAGAGGGGTTGGGGGGGGGGACGGCTTTGCCTCGGCGGCTCCAAGCAGCGAATAAAGAGGAAACTGTTCCCAGGCAGCATTTATGTAAGAAAGCAAAACTCAGACACGGGCGCCTGGCGTTACCAGGGCGCACGAAGAAAGGCGAAGGAATAAGGCGCGGAGCAGGGCGGGTGGCGGGACTCCCTTACCCCACCGTCGCCTCCTTCCATCTTCCATCTCCCGGCCCTCGTCCGACGAAGCTGCAACAATAGCCCGGGGTGGGTGGGTGGTCGCGTGGGGAGGGGGCTGCCTCGCCTCCCTCGCCGACGATCCCTTTGTTAGAGGCGGAGAAAGAGGAAAGCACGCCGAGGCAGAAGCGCCCGGCAGCCGAGGGTGATGCGCGGGGATTGCAACTGCTGCTCCTGCCGGCGGCCGGGAGGCGGGCATGTGCCGGGGGGGTGGAGAGAGAGAGACGGGGACCCGCGCGCGCGCGCGCTCCTCTCACGCGGCGAGGGGGCGGCGGCGAGGAGTCGGCATGACAACGAGGCGGTGGGGGGGGGGTGGCCGCCCGCAAGAACTTCACGCCGGGCAAGCGGCAGAAGCTCCTGCACGGGGAGGGAAGGTGAGGCGGTTCTTCTGGGCATGTGCAAAGCCCTCCGCCTCGCTCCGGTGGTGCCTCCAAACGGCTGCACATGTGCAGTGCGCGGCAGTGAAGCCGCCGGGGGAGGTTCCTTTGCCCGCACTTTGGCCGCCTGCTGAGAAAGCGCAGCTGTTCTGGCTGCCGCTGGGTCTGGCTTCGCTTAGAGGCGAAGCGAGGTCGAGGATGGTTCGGGTTGATGAACGTTACGGCTGCATTAAAATAAAAAACCACACACACACAAATTTTATCCTAATATCTCCACGGCGGCAGGAGAACGTGCAGCCAGGGATTTATTTAATGCAACCTTTAAGACAAAAAGAGCCACTTGGACCCGTTTCCGAAGGAAAAAAAACTGGGAGCCGCAAAACCATTGCGACATTTAAAACAAATATAACACTGCATATATTGTTTCTTACCTTAATGTCCGATCTGACAGCGGGCGGGAAGGTGACGTCGGGACGGTGCGTAACTAACCATGCGACGTCACAGCCAGTACAGCGCCCACCACAGTGGGGAGTGTCGGGGCGCACAATGCGCCTCCTCCCCTCGCTAGTATCCGCCCCAGAGCCGCGGCAAAGGTGTAAAAGAGCCACATGCGGCTCTGGAGCCGCGGGTTGCAGACCCCTGATTTAATGTTTTGATTTTGTTTTGTTTTTTAATATAATTTTTATTAAATTGTCAGTTTTACATTTTAAAGTACACTCATTTTTACATCCTTAAAATATCAATGGCTATACTGAATGGTATCGTTTTTGCAAAATGTGCAGGGATTTATGATATGTAAAAGGAACCATGGAAAGAAGGGAAGGCATTGATATTTAATGTTTTGATTTTGTGTGTCCGGGATCAGAATTATTCGACCCCCGAGACAGCCCTGTATAGGGGAGGTTTGTTTAATGTTTAATTATGTTTTTATATATGTTGGAGGCCGTACAAAGTGGCTGGGGGCAACCCAGTCAGATGGGTGGGGTGTGAATAGTAAAATATAATAATAATAATAATAATAATAATAATAATAATAATAATAATAATAATACATAGGGTGCCCCTATTTTCATCGGAGAAATGTTGAAGGGTATGCAGTCTTCAACAAAGGAGAATAAGCAGGGATCTGTTATATCCCATTGGTATCCACTGGAATGTGATTCCAACTGATGCCCTAAATGAGCAAAGAGATGCGGCACTACAAGCAGAGATTAAGGAAGATCATTAAAGAAACAGCAAATGATTTGGACTGCCATCCTATGCTGTACTCCTATACCTGGGAGTAATCCCCAGTGAACAATGGGACTTTTGAGCAGACGTGTATAATAGGATTGTGCAGTTAGTTTATTATACTTTCCCCGCCGTTTGGACTTCCTGCCTAGGCCTGTCTCTGTTTGGAAAGATCTAAGCTTTCCCCTCCCTCTGTGACATTTAATGCCTTCTGTATCAAAAAAGAAATAAACGCAACAGGTTTGCAACAGATGAGCCAACGAAGGCAGCAGCCACAGGGAAGGAGAGTCATCAGCTTGTTGACACAAGTGTGACTCACTCTTACAGACTCTATGTATAAGGAAGACAAAAATTAATCTATGTCACATTTGTGCAAGTTGTGCACAGCTATATTGTACATGCTCTCTCGCTTACCTTCTCCTCTGTGTGTGTGTATTTATGTATATCTGTGCTTATGTGTCTATACAGCCAGCCACACTGAGCCACAGGAGGGATCATTTCATTTCCCGGTGAAGGCCACCTTGTAATTTCATTTTTGCTTTCTGCACTCACACTTTCAAATAAAATTAATAAAATGAAAGTATACATCATAAATTGTTGTTTCGTTGTTGTTGTTGTTGTTGGTCCTTTATTCAGTTTATTCCCTGCCCTCACCAACAAAAGCCATGGTAGTTGCCAGTTGCCTATAACCAGTGTCATGAGCAAAACCAGTCCATTAAATAACAAGAATGAAATTGAAAGTCATGTGGTTTTAAACACATGTTGGTTTCTTTTCCTTCCCTTTCTGGATTCTAGCATTTCAAACAACACTCTTTCCATAGAGGGCAGAACAATTCTTTAAAGAACATGAGGGACTTTCTCTATCTGTTTATCAAGCACATTATTTCAGGCTATGAGTGGTGATATTAACAGAATACTGACTGAGAGCCAGCGTGGGGAAGAGGTCAGAGTGATGGACTTAAGAGACTTGGGTTTAAATCCCCACTAAGCCAGGAAGATCACTGGGTGAACTTGGGCTAGTCATTGCCTCACAACTTAACCTATCTCCAACCTAACCTACCTCATAGCGTTGTTGTGGAGGGGAGAAACTTGAGGTCCTTGGAAGAAGAATAGGATATAAACGATGCTATTGTTTTGTTGCTATACATCACAAAGCGCACAATCAGTTACGTCACTTTAGTGCAAATCAAGCTATGATAAGATCTAACTGCCATGCGAGGTATTAAGATGAATAAAAATGAATGAGTTTATTTATTAATGTTTATGTAACCTGCTCTGAGCCTGGGGAAAGTCGTTATCAATAGTGCAAATAAATAAATAAATGCCACTAAATAACAATTACATCTCGATGATGTCATTAAAAATGCTGTCAATGTTGCTTCAGAAAATTTATCTGTGTTCTCATTATCAATACATCTGTAGTTTAAAATATTCAGAAAAAGGGAAGTGTATATCTTTTTCAGGCTTAGTCAGTCTATAAAAACATAGAAGGGAGAGAAAGACAGTGTGATGTAATGGCTAGAGTGCTGCTTTATGACCAGGGAGACCAACTCACAGGCTGGCAGGCACTAAGCTATCTGCAGTCCTATATGGTGAACATTAATCCTGCTTTGCATTCACAGAGTCAACATGGAGGTTAGACTGTGTCCAATCTTTACCAAGCTTTTGTTCTGATTGCAGGGAAGTTGTACGACAGTGAGCACGCAACCTGAATTCTGGCTGAATTTCTTGTGCAATTTCTCAATCACTCATCCATACCACACTTTTCCATGCATTTCCCCGTAACTTTTCAAAATGCAGAATATCTGGTTTTTTATTTATTTAAAAAGCGGGTTTGTTACACCAAGGCAACAGAGCATCTTCACATACAGTGGTATCTTGGGTTAAGTACTTAATTCGTTCCGGAGGTCCGTTCTTAACCTGAAACTGTTCTTAACCTGAAGCACCCACTTTAGCTAATGGGGCCTCCTGCTGCTGCCGCACCACCGGAGCACAATTTCTGTTCTCATCCTGAAGCAAAGTTCTTAACCTGAAGCACTATTTCTGGGTTAGCGCAGTCTGTAACCTGAAGCGTATGTAACCTGAAGCATATGTAACCCGAGGTACCACTGTACTTCAATTGCACAGTCCCAAATTTCAAGTGTGCCCTTGAATCTGCTGCAAAGTGCTGACAGTCAGGACTCAGCCCAATGTCACATGATCTACCAGTGGACCTGGAAAAACCTTTCCATTCCCAATTTACTGAAGTAGCCGGTTGGTTGGTTGGTTGGTTGGTTGGTTTGATTTTTAGGGCCTTGTTTCTTCTGCAAAAGTCAGGAAGTATTCCAGTTTCAGATCTCTCTAGGTGGAGCCCAAAGAGATACACCAGTTCAGGGAAGCCAGGTGAGAGCATTGTGCCTCCAGGGCAAAGTTTTGAAGCACAGGGTGGGGCCGGCCTGCTCCTCCGTTTACACGTCTTGCTGCTAGCCTCCAGCCGCAAGTTAGCCAGCTGCACACAGAGAGTGGTGTGACGAGCTGATCTGGAAATCTTACTGTACGGAAAGACATCTGGTTTGAATTTGGCTGGAGACGGCATGTTGCAGAGTATCACAGCACGTGATGGCCTGATCAGCGAGTTTTGCAGATGAATGAACAGTGCTGGAAAGAAAAGTATTGGGCTGCAGTACAGGGCAGGGAGCAGGCAGAGGGGAGCAGAATATCTGGCTTGCCTTATATCACAGAAGCTAGATAATCAGCAACTTCAACATTACAGTGGTACCTTGGTTCTCAAACTTAATCCGTCTCGCAAGTCTGTTCCAAAACCAAAGAGTTCCAAAACCAAGGCATGCTTTCCCATAGAACGTAATGTAAAACGGATTAATCCAGACTTTTAAAAACAACCCCTCAAGCAGCAATTTAACATGAATTTTACTATCTTACGAGACCATTGATCCATAAAATGAAAGCAATGAGCAATGTAGAAAAGTAAAGGGACCTCTGACCATTAGGTCCAGTCGTGACCGACTCTGGGGTTGCGGCGCTCATCTCGCTTTATTGGCCGAGGGAGCCGGCGTACAGCTTCCGGGTCATGTGGCCAGCATGACTAAGCCGCTTCTGGTCAACCAGAGCAGTGCACGGAAATGCCGTTTACCTTCCCGCCGGAGCGGTACCTATTTATCTACTTGCACTTTGATGTGCTTTAGAACTGCTAGGTTAGCAGGAGCAGGGACCGAGCAACAGCCGCTCACCCCGTTGCGGGGATTCGAACTGCTGACCTTCTGATCGGCAAGCCCTAGGCTCTGTGGTTTAACCCACAGTGCCAGCCATGTCCCTAATAAGCAATGTACCATACTATAAAATAAATAAAACAGTATTGTAGATGATAAAAATTAAAATTAAAAAAAATTCTTACCTGCACTGATGATAGTCATTGTTTGGATAGGGGGCTTTTATCCATTTCCGCAGTCACACAGTCAATCAGTAGCTGAACTGGGATCCACACAGTCACAAAAACAAATCTGAAGAAGCCTCAAAACAAAAAAATGCAAAATAAGTAGCAAAAACAAAAACACCAAATATAAGTTCCACATATCACCTCAGAACACTGCAATTGGAAACAGAAAGCTTGAATTACAATG